CATCCGAAAAGTATTTATACAACCAACAATGAGATGATGGATGTGGGACACATAAATTATATATATACGACAAGAATGCCATTCAACCTAATACGCTGCATGATCTCTGCATGTCACAGATTTAAATCAGTGCAAAGGCTTATAGGCAATGACATATATAATTGTCGTATATATATAATTTATGTGTCCCACATCCATCATCTCATTGTTGGTTGTATAAATACTTTTCGGATGAAAAGCTCACTATCAGCTACACTGCGCTGACGAGCCCCAAAAGGGCGAAACAGCTGTCCGCAGTTGCTGGTAGTGAGCTTGGGGCACAATTGTCATTGCCTATAGGCCTTTGCGCTGATTTAAATCTGTGACATGCAGAGATCATGCGTGTTAGGTTGAATGGCATTCTTGTCTCTCTAATGTATATATATAATTGTATACAATATATTTACTAGATGCTGTTCACAATAAACAAGTGCATGTATACGGTATTTATTAAACGTCGTGCAAGATAGACTTTCTTTAATATATATATACATTATTTTCATCATATTTTGTTTTGCTTATTTACAATCAAGTCATGAAAAATTGCGAATAAATAATACCGGTATTGTCTATTCTCATTTGAAAATTTAGAATCAGCCAATCATACTTCACTGGCCCCAACAACGTAGTCATTGACGTAGTCGAGATCGATTGAAATACGTCCAATGCTGCTTATAAGCATTGGAGCTTGCAGCAAGAATGAATACCGTATGTTACTCATGCCATTCTTTAATTTTTTAGTGTTTCGAAGGCGGCGCTTATTTAAGGACGGCGTTTATTCGAAGGCGGCGCTCTTTAATGTTTTTGCTCTTATGTGCGGCGCTTAATGGAAGTCATGGCTTAATCGATCGAGGGCGATACTTAATCGAGTAAATACGGTAGACAATATTTTATTCCATTGATGCAAACAGCGATATGACGTCATACTTACATCCTCCATTTTTTTGACAGAGATATGGAAATCTCCACAGATTGCCCAAGCCGACTGCGAAACCAATGGATGCTAAGAGATATTCTGCTTTATTACCCCAGCTATCTCGTGGTTCCTCAGATTCAACGTCCAGTTTATTGAGTTGAGGTTCAGCACTATCCCCATCAGGACCGTTGCTTGCGGAGACTGTAATAATACGTACATAGATATATCCATTAGGAGCGTTAACAGCGTTGTAATTTATTAATTAATTAATTTAATTTATTAAACTTTGCCAAAAACACGTAACAGAACAGCAAATAGACATCTAGACAATAAACATGAAGAAGAATGGCAGGGACACCACAACAGTGTAAACCAATTACTGTGGGCCCTTATAGTAATGGCAATGCTCTTGCAATAAATCGGAAGATTTAGATGGGATAGTGCTATCCATTGGGTAGCGATTTTTTCAACTTTTAGAAAGCTATACCTAACAGGCTGGGTAACTGCTGATAGCGACCCCACAATAAATGCAGAAATGAAAAATTTCTAAATATACACCCTTTCATAAATGGCTGCCGATTAAAAATTCTTTTATGTGCATATAAATTGGCCCAACTAGCCTCGTACTCATGTTAAGATTTCAAAGGAATTTCTACCCAGAAACGAGGCTAGTTGGGCCAATTTATATGCACATAAAAGAATTTTTAATCGGCAGCCATTTATGAAAAGGGTGTATTGAGCCTAACATTGAAATGCATTATCCAGGGCAATTCAACTTTTTCAAAAAAAATGAGAATAATGAATAGATGAAACAATTTATATGAAACAATAAAACGGTGATACGCACGGACGGACAGATGGATGGCAGACGAACTTGACGGATGCCCAAACGTAGTATACAACAAGTACGATCGTACTACTGGGACCAGTGGTGCATGAATTACCTTGAATTTGCACTCGAGTAAATGTAATTAACAATATTATAAAACAACTTGAGTAAGAGTAAAAAGTACTGGAGGAAAAACGTACTTGGTAGAAAGTACAAAGTATCCTTAAAAAAATACTTGAAGTAAAAAGTAAAAGTACTATTGTCTGTAGCGTGTAGGGGGGGGGGGGCCTTTCCAATAGATTGACATAAAAGACAGGGGCGGATCTAGGGGTGATCAGAGCGATCACGCGACTCAGGTAAAAATTGGTCAAAAAATGGAAAATTGTTAAATTAAAATAGCAGTCCAGTTATCAAACTTCGCGCAGTGTAATGTATTGAAAGTTTAACAGTCCAGTTTTGAAATATCATTCAGTAGCAAGGCCTTCGAACATGAACGCGCAGAAAAGCGGTCTTACCCATTAGTTTTGCACGCTCTGAGTCAGATCCCAGCCATCTGATTGGCTATCTCGATTTTTGCGCGATCTGTGGGGAGTTCTGATCGCTAAAGCGATCAGGGGCTCGAATACAGGCTATCTGATTGGCTAATTCAAAACAATCCTGAATTCCCATTGGCTGGATATTTTTGATCGATCATACCGTTCAGGCTTCATTAGTACACGGAAAGGTCTATGACGTTTCTGGCCCTTTCTGATCGCTACTTTGTGCTTGACCGCAAATTATTAAAGTTCAATGGGAAGATTTACGGCTATCAACCAGCCATGTCTGTTAGTATTTACGAAACTGTAAAGGCTGCTTTAGAGAATGACGATCGACAAAATGTCAAAGATATTGAAGCTGATTTAAACAAGCGATAACGGTGTACCGAAGATTTATTGAGCGTTGTGAATAACATAAGCAGCCTTCCTCGCACGAAATTTTGGTGCGGAATCTTACATCCTGAAGTACGTTCGAGAGAAGACAAAAATCTTTTGTACGGCCTTAACTTAAGATATATATATATATTCTATTTTAACTAGATATAGCATTATAACTGTTGTATAATGCTAAGGCCTTTTCTCGTGGTGATCAGCCAAGATACAAACAACTATGCGAGAAAGTGGCAAATCTTATAGCTAAAGCTAAAGCCACCTACTATCGGTCCAAGGCCTCAGAATTTCGTACCTCGAATCAATCGAAGTGGTATAACTGTATCTACTCTTTAGTAAATGCCGAAAACACAACCCACACCCAATTTCCACACGGGCCCGAAAACCTAGACTTATCCGACTTAGCTGAAAAACTTCAGAAAGCCTTCACTAAACCATGATCGGACCGTTACACGAATGTCGCCTTTGAAATACCTGAAGTGAACCACCCACATAAGAATAACAAACCACCCCTTCCTTCTATTGGCCAAGTTAAAGCGGTTTTAAAACATCTTAATCCAAGAAAAGCAACTGGCATCGATAAGGTTCCTGCATGGATGCTCAAACAATACCACGAAGACCTAGCTCCTGTGGTTTATGACATTGTGTGCTGTAGTATAAGTCAATGTTGTTATCCATCACTCTACAAACAT